CCCTCCGGTCAGGATGTAGTCCTAGACGTCCTCTGTCCATAGCTACCGAGTTTACACCGATCAGACACCGTTTGATTACTCAAAATAGCCTCGCCTCCAAGTTGGTCGCAAACGCAGACTGCACCAACACCTTTCACGAAAATAAACATAACTCTCAGAAAATAATTCTAAATGATGATCCGCTTGCTGGGGATGATAGATAAAAGAACTAGCTACTTAATGATAAATTTCCAGACTGAAATCTTTCGATTAGGTTGACCGTTTCTCCTTTACGCTGAGACTACTCGGAACTGCCTCTGCAACACAACAGTTTAATTATCGCCACGAAGAACGTCAATAACTTTCTAACTGTACCTTTGTTTCACGATCTGAAAGATGATCTAGAAAGCTGACATCGAGATCTTTCCAATGATATCTCTCTCGTTTCCTGGTTCATTCTGGATCAACGGGAAAATATTGATGAAGATGACTGCTGGTAGATCCGATCTGCAGAAATCAGTCCCGAAGAAATAATCATAACTCTTAGATAAAAATACCAAATGACGATCCGTTTTCTGATATACGTAGATATACAAGTGTAGAACATAACCTCAAAATTTGGATTCGAAATTCCTAGATTTGACTGATCGTTCTTTTGTTATCCCAAAACGTGTCTGCTGAGCTTAATCTCTCTTTAAATAGGAAGAATTTAGGGTTTTCTACCACACTACTGGGCCAAGCCGGGCCGAATTTACTGGGCTGGATTTTGGGTCGTTACAGGCAAGCATGTCAACCAGTTCCTTAAGTTCTTACCAACCGTAGCCCTCAGTAGCTGAGAGAGTGTACGGTTTACTACCTCGGTTTGATCATCTGTCTAGGGATGACAAGTATTCGAGAAAAGCATCTTGGTACCAATCTTACCCCATAACGTCCTCTAGAAGTGGCTGAGGAATTTGGAGTCCTGGTCAGACACGATGGTTCTGGGAACACCATGTAAACGGACCACCTCCTTGAAGAACAAATCAGCTAATTTGGGTAGCATCATTGGTCTCGTCACAGGCTATGAAATAGGCCATCTTGGAGAACCTGTCCACCACTACAAAGTGGAGTCTTTGTGGTTTATCTTGGGCATGCCCAGCACAAAGTCCATAGAAACATCTACCCAAGGTGGTTATGAATAGGTAATGGCATATGTAAACCATAAGGATGTGACCTGGATTTCGTCTTAAGATAAACAGTGCACTTGACGCATAGGTTCTCAACATCTCTCTTCATGTTCGGCCAAAAGAAATGGTTGGTGAGAACACTTAAGGTCCTGTCACGACCAAAGTGCCCCATGAGGCCGCCACCATGGGCCTCCCAAACCAGCAGTTCCCTCATAGAATTTTTGGGAACACATAGTTTCTTTTCTTTGAACAAGAACCCTTCATGCTGATAGTAAGGACCGAATGCTCCTTGTGTAGTGTTCCTGAAAGCTTCATGAAAATCAAGGTCAGTTGCTTAAGAATCTTTAATAAATTCAAAACCCATGATCCTAGCTTCTATGGTTGAGATAAGAGTCTATCTTCTGGACAAGGCATCGGCCACTACATTCTCTTTGCCCTTCTTATACTGAATCACATAAGGGAAAGTCTCCACAAACTTTAACCATCTGGCGTGTCTCCTCTTGAGTGTGGTCTGACCTCTAGATGTTTAAGCATCTCATGATCTGTATGAATAACAAATTCTTTAGACAAAAGATAATGTTGCCAAGTTTTGAGTGATCTTACTAGAGCATAAAGCTCTTTGTCATAGGTCGGATAATTGGAGGCAGCTCCACTCTATTTCTCACTGAAGTAGGCCACAGGTCGGCCTCCTTGCATGAGCACAGCTCCTATGCCAAAACCTGATGCATCACATTCAATCTCAAAAGTTTTATCGAAGTTAGGCAGAGTAAGGACTGGTGCATGAGTCAAACTATATTTAAGCTTGTTAAAAGATTCTTCTTGGGCTGGTCCCCAAGTAAAGGATACATTCTTCTTTATTACAGAAGTCATAAGAGCAGCAATAGTACTGAAATCCTTGACAAACCGTCGGTAGAAACTGGCCAGACCGTGAAAGCTGCGGACATGTCCGATCATGGTTGGTGTGGGCCAGTCTTGTATCGCCTTGATCTTTTCCTCATCAACCTTCAGTCCCTGGGAACTCACAACAAAGCCTAAAAATACCAATTGATCAGTGCAAAATACACATTTCTTAAGGTTAACATAAAGTCCTTCTTGGCTCAAAGCCTTCAGCACCTGTTTATAAATGATCAACATGGTCGGATAAGCACTGACTGTAAATCAATATGTCATCAAAGTACACAACCACAAACTTACTAATATATGGCCTTTGAACCTCGTTCATAGCCTCATGAAGGTACTAGGGGCGTTGGTGAGGCCGAATGGCATCACAAGCCACTCATACAAACTTTTTTCGTCTTGAAGGCAGTCTTCCACTCATCGCCTACCTTCATGCGGACTTGGTGGTATCCACTCCTGAGATCAATCTTAGAAAACACAGTAGAACCACTTAGTTCATCCAACATATCATCTAATCTAGGTATGGGATACCGATAGATGGTTATGTTGTTGATGGCTCGGCAGTCCACACACATACGCCATGTTCCGTCCTTCTTAGGCACCAATAGGATCGGAACCGCACAAGGACTAAGGCTCTCTCAGATGTAGCCCTTATCCATGAGGTATTGGACCTGCCTCTCCAACTCCTTGGATTTCTCAGGATTGACTCGGTAAGCGACTCGGTTTAGTAAAGGTGCGCCTGGTACAAGGTCGATCTGATGTTCTATGCCGCGTATAGGAGGTAAACCGCCTGGTATCTATCCAGGGAAAACGTCCTTGTACTTCTCCAGAAGGCTTTGCACCTCAGCTGGTACTTCTTTGACCTCAAAACCTGCAAAACAACCTTCCCTAAAGACCATTAGTAGCATGTGCGTTTCATGATGTAAAGACTTAAGCACTTGACCAGAACTAATATAAAGATTAGTCTTACTTACCTTGCCAGTTTGGTCCATTGCCTTTTGCATATCATGAACCTCTTGGGGGCTGAGAGGTGCTAAGCTATGCTTCTTATTGTTGTGACTGAAGCTATAGATGTTGGTACCACCATGGTGAATGGTATCCTTGTCAAATTGCCACGGCCTCCCTAAGAGTATATGGCCGACTTGCATAGGAACGACATCACACTTCACCTGATCATGGTACTTGCCAATACTGAGGGACACAACAACTTGCTCGGCTATCTTGAGCTAACTCTCATCATTAAGCCACTTAAGTCGGTATTGTCGTGGATGGGGGGTCTTGATCAAACCTAGCTTATCAACAAGGTACTTGCTAGCCACATTAGTACAAGAACCTCCATCAATGATCAAACTTCATACCTTGCTCTCCACGCTACATCTTGTACGAAACATGTTTTCTCTTTGGATAGTCTCTGGATCAAAGAGGGCACTGAGGGATCGTCTGGTCACAAGTAACTCACCAGTATCAGCATAATCAATCACCTCTTCATCAGTGGTAGTAGCCTCAAAATCGGCCTCATCTTGGGATTCATATTAACTGTTAGACCCAATTTCGGCACCTATCTGATTAGGCCCAAGCCCATCAAAAATTACCACGAACTCGACGTCAAACCGGACTCTACGAGGTCGAGATGATATCCCGGAGATCGCAGAAACAGTTAGAGAAGGAGAGGACTATAAAAGGGAGCTATAATGGAATGAAAAGCAGACGAAAAAACCCTAGAGCTATTCACTAATCACATCGACCTCACTCTATAGATTTCTAGTTCGCTTATTTCTCCTACTTCTCGCTGTTGTTTCTGATATTGTTCATCATCTTGTAAACAAATTCCATATTCAATAAAAGTATATTTTTGTCAACCGAATTCCGATTGTATCGTTGTGTTTAAGAGCATCGTTGCCCACATCATTTATTATATTTAAATTATATAATAAAGTTTATTAATAAATAAATATATTTTGATGTTATATACTATCTAATTTCATAATAATATTTATGTAGGTTATAATATTATTAATATAAAATTTGTATTGTTGTAACAATTTTTTTTTAAAAATATTATGTAATATTACTAATTTATATATTTTATTTATAAATTTGGAATATGTAAAAAGTAAATTAATTTGGATCTACGTAATACAAACAAAATTTGGGATAGTTTTAGAAGTATTTTACATAATTTTAATTTTTTGTTTATAAATTAAAAATGAATTAAAATTTTAATTATATTTTATGATAATTTAAATTTTAATCAAATAATTTTCGAAAATATATGTTGAAAAGATTCTAAAAGATTTTAAAAAGATATTATTAAAATTTTCTTAAAAATATTATTTTTATTTCAAATAAAAATTAAAAATATAAAAAGATATTATAATGATGTTATGTAAAATTTTATAAATTTTCCAAAGATGATCCAAACTAAAAGATCACAAATGAAATGAGTTATGACTTTTGTTTTAATATAATAGATGTACATTGCAAGCTCAAAGGGACCAATATGAATTTGAGGATTAGCAAATATGATTTCAAGAAGATAATGAAGCATTAATACAGGGTGAGGTGATATATTAGAATGATCATGAGGTAATATATTAGAATGATCATGATTCATTACACAAGCTAGATAAAGATGAAATCATTTCCTAAGATACTGAACAAACATACAGTGGATTAGTCCATGGATCGTGTAAATATCCATAAGCTTAACCCAAACCAGACATGCTAAAATGTTACAACATATATTCCTAATTTAGGAATCATCATAGAAACAAGACAACGTCTTTTTCAGTATGTTGTAATCAACACTTTCAGGACCTGAAACCAAAGGTGTAACTAGACCAGCTTTTGTAACGAATCAAAACATTTGCCGATCTTCCTAATCCTTTTCACTGAAATTTTATTTCACTAACAGTCTAACAGTATACAAGAACAATCAAGAACTCTATAAATTGCAGTGAAAAGCTTCTAACTTTGGCCATAAGCACCCAACAAACAAACACCTAATGTCATGAAAACTTCATATAACATAGATCCGAATAATTGAGCATTGATAACCAAACAGTTGCAGGATTACATACACTAGAATTATAATGTCAAAGACTCAAACACACACATAACAAGAACAGTACAAAAGCTTAATAGAAATCATTTACTTTTGCCTCTTAATTTTCAACACAAACACCAAAAAGCTTCCAAATTTCATCAAGTGGTGATGTCACTTGTGTCTCTGGCACACCTTGTAATGGTCTCACAGCCTCTGCCGTAAGAATTAGCTTGTCCGGATCGGCAATCGTAGTACGAGGCGCCTGGTTTCTGACAAGGAACCATGTCCCTCCTTAGGGTTTCGTACCCGATGTACCGCTTCTGAGCCATAAGAACTCTCCGGCTGATCTCCGAAGGCATTAGCTCTTCATCTTCTCCGATGAGGCTGTTCCGGGCCAGCATCGCGTCGATCTCAGCGATGGCATCGGTGATTGGGAAGTGGGTTTGGATGAAAAGAATGGATAAAAGTACTAAAGTAACAGAGTGTATCATGTTGGTGTAGATTTATCCCGTGTGATCTGTATGCTTCTCTGTCTCTCACTATTGTAATCTGGCAGAAGCAGAGAGAGAGAGAGAGAGAGAGCGCGGTGGGGTAGTTGGTGAAGAAGAAGAGTCGTTGCCAGTGTGAACAAATAAAGAGCAAGTTTTGGTTTAACTGTTCGGATTACTCAAAGAAATCTACTTTAACCGGTCGGTTTGCAAATAGAATATAGACACTAGGGGTGGGCGTAAGGCGATTACTTGCATTTTTGTGTATCCTTGATACTTGACTTGCCTTAAACGAGTAATGAATTTTCGGACTTGTTCTTGCCTTGTCGAAAACAGGTACTTGTTATTTCGAGTACTTGTCCAAAAATATGTTACTTGCAAGTTACTTGGCTCTATCGATTACTTATTACTTACAAATACTTATGAATTATTTGGATATTTTATTCAAGTTTCTAATAACTATTTATTAGATAATATTGTATAAGAAAAGATTATGAAAGTTTATTTTGTTTATTCAACTGAGAAAAAACACAAAAGTTATTTCAAATAAAATATTTGTACCTATTATAAAGAAGAAGAAACAAATACATAAATGTTTCGATACAAAATATTTGTTATTTCTTACAACAAATAAATATATTTTTAAGACTTTTGTTTCTATGGTCTAGTTATCGTTTCTTTCAGTTGCAAAACAAGTAACAAGTAATATCAAGGCGGGTCACTAATTTCTTTGTAATACTTGTTACTTGACTTATACTTGCAAATAGCAAAACTAAGCAACTTGATACTTGACTTGAAAACGACGAGTACTTGAAAAAACGAGGCGAGTACGGATCAAGTAACGAATATAAGGCGAGTAACGAGTATTTGTGCCCAGCCCTAATAGACACTCCTCGACAGTCGACAGTGGATGTATGACGCAACATATTACAAAGCCTGATGCCAGTTTTAGGAACACGAGTGCCTATTAAAAACACTATATTGACCAACATTTCTTTTAAGAGGAAATTACCACAACCAACCTAAATATTCATTTTAACCCTAAAGTTGTATCTTATATTTAATCAACTAGGATTAGATCCGCGTCTTAAGCGGGATAAGATGATTAAATTTGTTGTATTTTTGAAGATAAGAAGATATTATATCTGTTTTATTTGTATATTAGTTTGTTTTCGATTGGTTGTTTCGGGATAACCCGCGCCTTGCGCGGAATGAAATATTTAATAAACATAGGTTAGAAATTTATGAAGTTATAATAATTTTGTTAAAAGATATATAGTTTACATTTACGGGACGTAAAAAAATTTAGGACGTTTATTTTTATTTTGAGTTAACATTTCTATATGTGTCTACATTTGATCAAAAAAAAGTAATTGGTTTTATATCATATATAAAATTACACTTCAAAATTTAGATTATAAACATAGATTATAAATTTATGGTTGTTTTTCGGGTAGTTTGTTAATATATAGTTATAGTAGTCTGAGACGTTTTTGTATGTATATGAAGCCTATTTTGTATTTTATGTATAATTATTACTACTAAGTTACATTTTCTTACATATATATGTATAATTTCTTATAATGTTCTTATACCACGATGTAAATATACATGTTCTTGTAAAATTTATCAAAAATAACAACCGATATCACCATTTTATATAATAATTTGATTCATTAATATACATAAAAGTATATTCAATATATATATATGTATGTATGTATATAAATGTACATAAATAAAAATATTCATCTTTCCAAATTTGAATTTTTCTAAACCTCATGACACATAGCACTAAATGTTGACCACAAAGCTAGATAGCTTTTTTAACATCTGAAGCAAACTTACTCCATAACACCAATGGGAGTCGACATCCCTAAGCTCTTTCTAAGTATATAAAGCTCTAAGATAACTAAGCAAACTAATTGTACTAAATATTGCACAATTCAATCCAAATTTTGTTTNTTCTAAACCTCATGACACATAGCACTAAATGTTGACCACAAAGCTAGATAGCTTTTTTAACATCTGAAGCAAACTTACTCCATAACACCAATGGGAGTCGACATCCCTAAGCTCTTTCTAAGTATATAAAGCTCTAAGATAACTAAGCAAACTAATTGTACTAAATATTGCACAATTCAATCCAAATTTTGTTTGTTTCGTTCCCATTGACTACACAACTTCAAGATGTGTCACATCCACGATATATCTAATTACATCTGTAAGAATAAAATACAAAACTTTGGGAACCCTGGTAGTTGACATAGATTATTTAAGAATTTAGTTACTTACCAATCAAGTAATCCAAACTGAAGTTCGATCTAGAATGGTTCTGTAATTGATTGGTTGCGTTGCTCTTGGTAAATATTCAGAGTTTCTCACGCGGTTGTTGATATGATGTTTATCTTGTAAAGATGTTTCGCCCGAATCAAAGAGAAGTTTGACATTTGTAAATCTGCATCTAGCAAGGAAAAGATTAAACTGGTTCACCAAATCTTCACCAAATCTTCACCAAATCGTTTTCTAAACTTGCGTGAATCTTATCACCCTATTTAAGAATGAGTCAACAAATTAAATTAATGTTAGATCTTTGTCGCATATAGAACTAAAGTTAGAAAATATTCATATTATACCATGTCATGTATCATTGTATTCATTTGTTTATATGCTTACAGTGGCGTAGGTCACTAATAAGGTTACTTACATTTACATCGATGAGGATCACTAAACAGTGAGACCACCTGCGGCTGAGAACTGCTTATAAAGTTGGATTACCTTAATCTTGATTTCCACATCGATTTGAAAGGTTTAAGTGCAGAAGATGTGTTAATGATGCCATTGAAACAAAAGAGAGAAGAGTTTTGAGTTTATTTGGGTATGTGTGCTCTATTGATCATAGACAAAGACTTTAAATACTAATCTTGTTTCAGTATTGATAGTTCCATGTAATAACTATTCGATATATTGCATTAATATAACTTTCCAATATCACAAACTAAAAGAGAATATGTTGATAATATAAATATTGACAGCACATATAAGGTAACAAAACTAATTATTAAACTTTATACGCAAGGCTTAAAATATTTAGTCTAAAGTAAAAATTCCTAGGCAGGCTTTGTATTACCTTACCTAACCGACTACATTTAATATTTTCTATATACATTTTCTGTTTGAATATGAATTGGTAGCTTATATAAAATTCCTACTCAACTAAAAGTCATCTATTTAATTAACTAAATATTTGTTTAATATTATTAACATACATTTCAAAAGGGCAATTATAAATATGTCGAATTAGTTTAGACTAAATCAATTTTATATGTTGGTTTAGAATAAATCATTTTGACTTTGTAATATGGTTAGGATTATATAGTTATAGTTATTGGCTTAATTTCACCCGACGACAACATGCAGCCATCGTTTTTTTTTCCTATTATTTTGTAATATCTAAAAATGATTTGTTTTTTCTAAATGATGAAAAGAAAACATATAAACATATAAACATCTAAACACCTATCGTCTATTATTATGAACTTATTAATATGTCTAAGTTTTATATAACTTATAAAGAAAAAGTAAAGTAAATCCAAACCATGCATACATACGTTAACGTGAATATCATCGTCAACATGAATCAACCACTTGAAGGTTCGTTTGTATGCCCACAACCATGAATAAATACGTTAAATTCATTTCGCTTTAGATATGTTTGCTCATCTGCATATGTATATACATGGGTTTAATTCACTTCTCTTGGCAACCTGTTTTTTTAATATTGACTTAGTCGCATCGTAGAACCCGTCGCAAGATCTCCATCACAATTTAGATTTCGCTGTAACTGCTTGACGATTTCTCCATCTCTATCATCTCTAGCTTCTTATCTGACGTCGTACGGTTGAGATTGGTTGCTACTTGAGCTTGCAATTCTCACGGAGACGTTGAGAGAGCTCTGGAACCAATTTTCTTAGTGAATGAATATTTCTCATTGTAACCATGGCATTCAAAGGTTGACGAAAACTCTGATGTCAATAGTTTTTGGTATCTTGGCTTCTCATTGATTGACGTAATCTTTAAGAAGATCAATGATAGGAGCTGCGAAAGAAACTCGGCAAAGTTTCTGAAACATGGTTCCATCCATACGAGCTTGTACACTCTCGCTGACTGTTAATTCATCGAGTAGTCTCGTTCAGTGTTCTGTCTACTCCAATCACCGAGCTTCCTATTCCGCTTAAGTCGAGGTTTTTTATCTCGAGTTCCTGGTGAAATCAACACTAACGAAGAAACCAAAGCATCAAGTTCAAGAGTGCTTTCAAAGGGTTTTGCTTTCTCTCGTAGTTGGTCTTTTATATGTCAAGACATGTAATATGGAAAGTTTAGAAAATTTGTTTTATGAATTTGGCAATATTTTTTGTGAGAAGCATTCTGAAAGCGACACGTCAGCATTGTCTAAAATTGCAATGTGAACGCTTTTAATGCAAAATGCTTCTCTTTTAATATATAAGGGATTGCAACCCAACCTAAATGGATGTTAAACCTACTATTTAACCCTTATGAACAAACAAAAAATGCGGAATATATTTTACGATTTTGTCCTTCGGAGATCTACACTTTAAGAAAGAAGTCTACAACTAGCTAGACTTACATTAACGTCTACTGTGTAGACTAATGTAGATTTATTATTTAATCTACATCTTAATTTAATCAAATAATTTGATTTTAAAAATGTAGAAAAAATGTTTTTGGTAAATTTTTTAATAAATCATCAATTTAAAGGTTAGTATGAGGTATATAAATTAAATTTTCATATAATTGAACAATTTAAAAGAATGTATATTGATTTGAGAACTATGTGGTAGACAATGTTAATGGTTTAGCAACTAAAAGTTCTAACATGATATGTCTTTTAGAGTTAGATTCTTAGGGTTAGATTCTAGATTTAGAATTATTTTGTTTTAATGATTCAAAATTACATATTTAATGTTGAGTAGTTTATATTTTGTATATATGATATTTGGTACAATGACTAAGATTTTTTTTTATAATCAATCAAAGGTTTAGGTTTAAGATTTGGAGTTTAGGGTTTGAGATTTCTGGTTTAGGGTATAGT